AATTAGTCATTTTTAGAACTTTTACCTGGCTCTGAATAAGTCTGTGTGCACCTACGTCATTCTATACGGCCACCATTAGTCACCTGTGTCTTCTGAGCCTTGGAGATATGACTAGTCTGAAGAGAAATTCTCTCTATGCTTAAAATACACATTGGATTTCAAAAAGCCTTTTCATGAATAAGGAATATAAAATACAGCATTCATAATTTTATACTGATTGTATATTGAAATATTATTTTGGACATATTGTATTAAGTAAAATGTATTGGAATTAATTCACATGTTCTTTTCAACCCACTTCATGTTGCCACAAGAACATTTCGAATTACATACGTGGCTTGCATTGCATATCCATAGGCAGTGCTGATGTCAACGTCTTTGTCCCACTGTCTGACCCCAGAGCTCCATCTCATTCTCTGTCCCTCTCTCTACATCTGTGCTACGAGTGCAGGGGCCACACACCACAGATGGATATTTCAATCAAAATGAATTAAAATCAAACACAATGTAAAATTCAGTCCTTCTGTCACGTTTGCCACACTTCAGATGCCCAGTAGCCACAGATAGTTAGTGGCTACCACACCACAGAGAAGGGGCACAGACACTTCCATCATCACTGGAAGCTCTATCAGACGGTGCTGCTCTAGGTTGTGCAGAGAGATGGCGAGAGGCACAGAGGTGGACCGTGAATACCTGAAGCTTGGGCAGGGTTTCCACAGTGCAGGATGCTGTGGCACTTCATCCTGCTACCTCCCAAGATACCTTTGTCAGCCTGTTTATGCATGACTTATCTCCGCTCCCCACCTTCGAGGGCTGTGGCATGCTTATCTCTCCTGGAACACACCTTCTCCCCCCTGCCCATGTGTAAACATCTCCTAACATGGTGCTCTGTACAATACAGGTGCTCAGGATGCGTTTGTTAACCAGGCAGAGTGGCAATTCCTAGCAAATGGCTGGTAGCAGGGGGCTATCAGAGAAAGGAGAGGGTGTCAAAGCCAGGTTACTAAGGAAGAAGGAAGAGAAGCTAGCTGAGAAAAAGACCGTGGTGATCCCAAATCTCAATCTGGTCACCAGAATCCCCCTGGCCTACCCCACAATCTCCTCACAGGCAGTCACAAGACTTCCTGCAGGGGAATTCACAGGCTTAGGCAGTAGCCATATAAAGAGCGCAAAAGAAATCCAACATATTATTATGTGATAAATAAACACGCAAGACCCATAAACAGGAAGCATGAAAATGAAGGGTCTGGTGAGGGGGGAAAAAAATGAAAAATGTCCTCTCCCTGGGCCAGCTGGTTTGAGTTACATTTTATGAGCATCTTGCGAATTCCAGCGCCCTTGTTGAATTAGCGGCAGAAGCGCACATTAGTTTTAAGGCTCCCTCTCGAATAGGAACATCATAACGTTTTTTAATTGGGCCTGATAAAAACGTAGCATTACTTGTAGGTTCCTGAGAGAAGTGAATTGTGAAATTGGGTTTTCATTAAACCTAATGATGGAAAATTAAGTATAGAGCGGCTGGTGAAATGGGCTGTGATAAAAGGCATCACTTGTGCATTATCAGAGGTTAATAAGGGAATAGGTGAGCTAAGATACATTGGAGAAGGGAGTCCAACTAGTTGAATTAATAAACCTTGAAAATCCCTTGGTTCCGAGTCTTCATAGCGTCATTAGCACTGGCATTCACATTATTACAAATGTTACGGCAACACAAGTTGTTACATTTCAAACAGCATTTATTTTCCATTCCAGCGTTGGTTTTGCTGACACCAAGTTTACAGTCTGTCTAGCAATGTGTTTAGGGAAAATATCCATATTGATAGCTATTGGGTTTGGGAAACATTTAGCATCTTGCAAAAATTGCCAGGTGCCCATGCCTAGGAAGCCTGCCTCTGCCGGGCAGCCAGTCTCCTGTGCAGCCCACGCCCCAGGACCTGGGGGATGAGTTTCAAGCTCAGGCTCGCCTTCCCTCTGCATCCCCAACCTCATCACACCATCGCGGGTGTGATATTCACTGGAAGCACATCTTAGATCCATGACAGCTAGGACACCTACGAGAAAAAGTGTGAGTCTTTAAAGAAAGGGGTTTTTCTTCCAGCCCTTTAACAGCTTCACACTGGCTTCTGGAGTCCACGTGTTCACCGTGTTTCTGGCTCTGCCTTCGCGTGGTCTCTTACAGCATTGCCAGCGGCTTGAAATCCATTATCAATCTCTGCTCCTACCTCTTGTGTCCACCTCTCGGGCCCTGTACACCCACTTCAGATGATCCTGCTCATCGTTTTCCCTATGAGACCATCAGGCCCTGAGGCTGGACTCTTTATCTCTCTCTGCATCGACTCTGCCCACCAGCCCTTGGCACAGAGTGGCTTCTCATGAAGTCTGACTGGTGCTCATGAGGTTGCAAAGGAGAAGGGAAGCAGCCCCATATTTTCCAAGCATCACATTTAAGCAATGCCAGTGAAGATGTGTCTACCTACTACCTAAAATCCCAGGAGAAAAAGTAAGCAGTGCAGCCAGGGAGGTTTTGCTAATGTCTCACCTAGGCCCTTCTTCTTTGTGTGTAAACCTGTGTCCTCAAGATCTTTGTGTTGGCACACCAGGGTTGATTGGGCTGAACCCATAGGGCCAGCTTTTTTTTTTTTAATACAGAGGGGTGTTTAACCCCTGCCATTCCCCAGGCCTCTTTTTTATTTTTATTTTGAGACAGAGTCTCGCTAAGTTGCTGAAGGCCTCACTCAGTTGCTGAGGCTAACCTTGAACCTACAATCCTGCCGCCTTAGCCTCCTGAGCCACTGGGATTACAGGTGTGCACACATCAAGCCTGGTGCAAAGGGCCAGCTTTACCTTGGTCGTGTTTACTGGCCACATTAAATCAGGGAGCTTGAGAGACCGCTCTAGGCTCATGGTAACACCACCTACTTATTATTAGGTATGACCCAATTGATATCTCAAGCTCAGACCAATCAAATGAGTAGCCCCTCCTCCCTGGAGAGTTAATAGGAGGGGACAGGCAGAGGGATGGGAAAATGAGAAACGCATTCCCCACTCCATCCCCAGACGTAGGTGAAGCCTGAGGTGGCAAACCACTCTCTGTTGCCCAGGACGGAGGGATTCCCAGGATACTGGGATTTCAGGGCTAAAACCAGAAAGTATTAAGCAAATGGGGACCAGCTGGTGACCCTGCAAAGCACGCAGGCCACACAGTCCCCTCCACCATCCCTTCCTTACCAGGAGCAGCTTGCTGGAGTGAACGTCCACACAGTCTATGTCTGATGGGTCATTGGGACATGACAAGCTTTTGATGAGACGAATGGCAGAAAATCAGGAGTACATGCTCAGCTTCCCAGGGACTGCGTGGGGCCCAGGCCTCGGGGATGGCCATGCCGGTGCCTCACAGTGACTGAAAACACCTGGGTGAGACACATGACGGTCATGTCTGGCAGCTCTCACCTCATGCACACCTCAAATGGGAAGGCCCAGGGCAGAGACTGTCCATGTCTGAGAGGAGCTGGCGGGACCCAGCCTCGATGGTTATGGGTAAGATGAACTGAAAGGCTGGCAGGGCTGCCTGGAGAGAAGCTGGGGTTGGGGGGCAGAAACTGCATCCAAGGGAACAGAGGAATTCAAACCCAGCCTGAGCAGGCACCATTTGGAGAGTGATCACACTAACAGGTGGTAGTTACAGCAACTCATTGGGTATAAAGATTCTTATGGGAGGGAGTATAACTCGTATTGAGGAGAGGTTTTATGAAGGACATGAGACATAGGATCTAGGTAGGAGGGAGCGGCTGGCAGGACTAAGGAAGAGGTTCAGCTGCCCTCCCTGCAAGGTGATCAGGGACATTCATGGATCAGCAGTGTTAAGGGGGAAACTAGATGATAGGAAGATGGTGGTTGCTGTTGCAGAGCCTATAGCTGGAGTGTCAGGGACACTACTAGCTCCTGGGGGTCCAGACTGGCTCCAATTCCTCTCAGGGTACAGTCCAGAGTGTAGGGCATGATGTAACATGTGGGGCATGTTGCATCAGAAAAGAGGAAACCTAACTTGCTGGCTGCTACCCGCTTCCCGGTCTTGGAGCCACACACATGTGGCTAAGATGGCACCTGGCGATCATCCAGAAGGCGTTACCGTGGGTAGTGACAAAAAATCAGAACACCCCCAGAATAGGCTCAGAACCCTTCCGCCCTCGTGGACAGCTCGTGTCACCCATTACTGCCTGTAGGATGGGTGTACACGTGAACTCCCCACCCTGCTGACCTTTATCCTGATTGGCTCCTGTACATTATATTAGCTGTGTGTGTCTTCTCAATAAATGAGCTCCTGCTTTGACTGGTCTCCCTGACGTGTCTGATTGTCCAACGGCGAGGGAAGGCTGGGTGCGGGGCGGTCAGTCGGCCCTCTCCTTTCTTGGTTCGATCTGGTCGGGGCGAGCTCTCCCCATCTCTCCCGCAGGTCGGGAGGGTACGAGGCTAAAAACCCCGACACCAGAGGAAACAAACTAGTAGAGAAATCAGGGCACAGGGAAGAAGGAGAAAGGTGCATATGGCAGGCGTGGGGAACTGTCCCAGCCCACCCTCACCATCCTGGGTGAGACACAACCCGTGGCCCCTGTCTGCAGGCACCAGAGGCTCTCCTCACCTGTAGGTAGGCATCGCAGACTATTGGTAGGCACCCTGTTTCCTACACAGAAGAGTACCCCAATATTTTGGCTTGGCCAAAGCCCACTCTGACACCTAGAGGAAGGACTAGGACAGGATGGGATGACAGGCAACCTGGAACTCTGTCTTTCCTCTATCCAGATGCACTCTTGCGGTTGGCATGAACCATGGTAGTTCATTTGTTGTTTTAGGTTATGAGTCTCCCCCACAGCCTGCATCTCCTGAGCAGTCAAGTCCCCAGTTAGGTCCCTTTGTCCCCCTCAGGCCACACCGGGGGAAGCAGGGAGGACAGAGAACAATGTCCCCAAGGTGATGGCCTGCTCCCCGTCTTCTCTTTGAAGCAGATGGCAGCCGTGGGGAGCTGTCCCAGCCCACCCTCACCATCCAGACTCACCCCTACCGGACCTGTGACCCCGTGGAGATGAGCTACCCCAGGGACCAGTTCCAGCCCGCCATCCGGGTGGCCGACCTGCTGCAGCACATCACCCAGATGAAGAGAGGCCAGGGCTACGGGTTCAAGGAGGAATACGAGGTAAGAGACCAGCCTGAGGGGAGACTTCCGGTGGCTCACAGGCTGACCTGGGTGCTAAAGCCTTGCTTCTGGAAGTGTGGGTCCCACCAGCAGCAGCGGCCCCCGGGACTGTGGTGGAAAGGCTGCAGCCTGTTAGGAGAGGTGTTAAATTTGAAAAGCGCCGTGCTAAGAGATCCTGATATCTCCTTCCACTTTCCTTTTTCATTCTCTCTTGCTCTCTCTCTCTCTCTCACTCTCATAAGCCAATTAGCTACGACATGTCTACACTTCTACCTTTCATATAAAGATACAGTGCTTTAAGCCTCCTTCCCACATGTTGTATAAAAGCCAGCAGATCTCTCCTGCCAGTGATTTCTGGCATGCCTGTTGCCCCGGTCACCTCTTGCCCAGTGTCCATGCTCCTGTGCTGTCCTCCCTACTCCCAGCTGAAGTGAAGCCTCACCTCTGGTGACTACTGTCACCTCCTCCCCACCCCTGCATTAGGCATCCCTTTCCTTGCTCCCAAAGCATCTCTAACACCAAGGACTTGCAGGCAGGTGGGGCTCGTTACTGCAGCTTGGGGAATAACACACAAGGGCTGCAGCAAAGTGCAGCAAGTGTCTCTGGTTCTTCTAAGTTCCTTAGCCATCACTTCACTGGAACTTCCTTCCAGGTTCCTGGCCTGACAGGTCTCTATCCACTCTTCAAACCACCATCTCCCCAGCATCCAAGGAAAGACTCCCACATTTTCTTTATCATGCAGAAACAAGTTCGCTTTCTTTGTCTCCTTCCCATTTGACCTTGCCCATTAGACCTCACCTTCCATAAACAGAAAGTAAAACAAAACAGAAGGAAAAACTCATTAAGATGTTTTCCTGAACCAAAGAGCAGCTCACTCCCCAAGAGGGATTCTTCGCCTCTCCTGCTGCTGGGGGAATCCAGCTTTGAAAACAAGCCTGTCTTCCTTCACTTGTCCTGTCCCCTCTCTCCCTCTCCTCCTTCCTTCTCGATCCCTTGAGCATCTTCTGTGGGCCAAGCTCCGAATCAAAGACGTACTCATTTTTTTCTTATTTGCTTGCTTTTTCTTTTCTTCCCTTCCCTTCTCTTTCCTTCCTCCCTTCTTTTTTCTTTCATCTTTCTTTTTCTTTCTTTCTTTTTTGTTAGTCACATGCAGCATGTGTCCCAGATATGTTCAGTTTAGTTTCTCTGGGTGCAGTGAACACTCAAACTCCACACATTCGGCATTCTTGATAATGCAGACTAAGTTTATCTCTCGGGCTATATTCAGAGAAAGAGCTTACAAAGCAATATTTCTGAAGTCATGTGAGGTCATGAAATTGAGCTGAAATTGGAGTCCAGACACAGCGGGATTCTAATACGGTAAACTGTGGGATCTTAGCACATCATTTTGCTATCTGACTTTTAAAATTCTTTATGGGTTGAATGAAGAGTTTGGATAAGGTGATTCCTAAGGACCTGTCTGCTCCTAAAACTTCATGAGAATATAAAACATGGTGGTAAGGGACACGTTTGACATATTTATGAGAACAAAAACATTTATGTCAACGATGTGAGTAATTACCAGCTTGGGAGAACCAGCGGTTAATTTCAAATACGGTCTAAGTAAGATAACATTTTTTATATACTCAGTATACAAGTTTTGGAAGATTGTTAGAATAAGAGTTGAAGGAGATGATCTCTTCACCTCCCATTCTTAGGTCTTGTTTCCCAGAGAGATGAATGCCCCAACCTTCATGTAAGGAATCCACCTGTGCACATTTACACACATGTATGCAAATCTCTTTATTGAGTCAATGTCAGGAAGATGCTGTGTTGTTTGCAGAGACATTCAATGTTATGATGGTGTGCCAAGTCATTTGTCATATTAATTTATCTTAAAGTTTCAAATAGTACTAAGGAAGATATGTGGTTTCTCAGAACAGAGTTCACCCAGGTAAAGGCTAAGAAACACATATTCTGTACAAATCATACTTGTAATCTAAATATTGATATCAGAAATACAAATGCACTTGAGTACTTGGGTACATTTCTTTCCAGAATGTTATTTTTTTCCTTTTTTCTTCATTTGTTTATTTTTTATTGGTACATTGTAATTATACCCAACAGTGGGATTCATTATGCCATATTTGCATGTGCGCATAACATAATTTGATCTCATTCTCAGAATGTTTTTTAAAAGCACCCATCTCTGTGGGGTAGATTGCCTTTCAAAAATCTCTTCTTTACCCCTCTTTGCATCTTCCCAACTTTCTAGCACAGAAATGAACTTCTCTTACTGTGAAGCGAAAAATACGTGTTGTTTCATCATTTGAACCTCAACCCAAATTATCTCTAAGGAGTCTACCCTTGCCCTCAATTAGTTCAAATTATATTAATCAGCCTGCTAGAATGCCCAGCTTCTAAGTAACTGCGTTTTCTGAGTAACTGAGTGTTAGTTGGAAACTTCACTTAATGAACCTGTGCTAGTTTCTACACTGTGAAAGTTCATGTTGTTGGAGTTCGGCTGGGTTTTGCTCTGACTATAAAGGTTCCAGTGATATCTAGGATTTATCCTGAGTACAAGTCACAGATCTGTATAGATAAAAGACTCCCAAGCTGCCAGTGTGGCTCTCGTACTGACCTGCTCGGTGTAGTCTGTGGCTTGCCACTGACCCATCCTGCTCTGTTTTTCTGTACAAATGAGTGGGATTGACAAGTTGACATCTTAGGCACCTCCCAGCTTCTGTGAGCTGTGTCTTCTAAAATTTAATTCAGTGGCATGATCACTTACACGTTCGTTTGGTAAATATTTACTATCTCCAAGGACCATGTTGCATATTTGCCATATGATGGTGAACAAAGAAAAGATCCTTGCCCTCACGAAGCTGATATTCTTTTCCAAGGGAATTAGGAAATAAGCACGAATTTTAAAAATATGTATATTAGAGAATGTGGTGTGTTAGTGAAAAATACCACTTGCTGTGTTACAGACTGTCTCAAACTGAGCAACATAAAATAATTGATTTATTGCAGTCATTGGTTGTATGGGTTAGGAATTTCAACAGCAGAATCTGTCTCCAATCTGTAATGTCAGATCCTTGACTGGGAAGGCTCCAAGGCTGGGGGGCTGAAATCTTCCAAAAGTGTCCTCATTCCCAGGCCGATGTAGGCCACTGGAATACTTACGCATGGCCCCTTCAGGTGGCCAGGGCTTCCTGACAGCATGGTAGCCTCACCATAGGTGGACTTTATACATGATGGCTCATAGCTCCAATGGAGCCTCCCAGCTGACACAGTTAAAAAATGCATCACTTTTTGTGATTTATACTTGAACTTGGCACTGCACCATTCCTAGCACATTCTATCTACTTGTAAGCAAGTAGAGACTTCCTCCATTCTAGGAGAGAGGAACCAGATTCCATCTCTTGATGAGAAGAGCTGGTGGCCAGATTCTGGAAGAAGATACGAAATAGAAGATGTTGGAAAATATGATCTCTGCATAGCACAGCCTTCCACAGCTACCATGGGAAAAGAAAGAGCAGAGAAAGAAAGGGACACGGTGTGCCCCAGGAACACCAAGTGAAGGAGGTCCCACTGCTAAACGGGGCGGAAGGGCAGCCCTTAATGAGATGATGGTGGAAGACAGACAAGAGTTCCGGGTCATGCCTGGCCTGCAGGAGCAGAAGCCAAGAGGCGGGGCTGGCAGGAGTAGAGGAAGCAAGGTAAAGGCAACAGAAAATTAAACTGAAATAAAGAGGCCTCTGCTGCCATCGTGCATTAGAAGCCTTTGTAAAGACTTGGGCTTTTACTCTGAGTGGAATGGAAAGACACTGCAGAGTTTCAGAGCTAATGATCTGAACTTCTGTTGAAAGGCTTTTCTAACCACCCTGTTGAGAACAGGGCAGGGGGGAAGCAAGGATAAAAGCAGGGAGGCCAATGGCCAGGACACTGCGGTGACCCAGGTAGAGACCACAGTGACATGGGCCAGGCACGGCGGAGGGGTGGCAAACAACGGCTGGAGTCTGCGTCTATGTTAAAGATAGAGCCAACAAGATTTCCTAATACAGGGCACGTGAGTCAAAGAGCCCAGAATGGCTCCAGAGCTGGTACCTGCGCCACTGGAAGGCGGACTTGCCATCAACAGAGATGGAAAACTTCAGTGGCACAGAGTTGGAGCCATCAGGAGCTCAGTGTGAACCGAGCTTGCAGTGTAGACTAAACACCTTAGTGTAGGCCACAGGAGTTGGCTGTGTGGGTTTGGAATTGGGAAGGAAGCCTGACTGGAGAGCAAATTTTGGGAATCCTTGGCATACTGATAATATCAAAGTCACCTGACAGGAGGAGGTCACCATGCATGTAAAAAGGACCAAGGGACAAACTTTTCAGAATTTCAACTTTAAGGAAGATGCACTGTTGGGGGTTCTAGAAACAGGAAATGCAATAAGCAGAGGCCTTGCCTGATGGGGAACTTGGAGCCTGCTCTCAGAAGCAGGCCTATAAACTGATGGTTTTAATTTCTTGACAAAATGCCATGATAGAGGTCTAGCCAGAATTAGATGACTGTGCAGGGGTTGGTGCATTAGGCCTAACGGAAAGGTAGATAGGCAGAGACTTTCTGGAAGACACAGAGCCTCAACCAAAGCTCAAGAAATAAGAATAACCAAAGAAAGAAGGGAAGGATTTTCAGGGCAGAGGAACTAGAACAAGCTACAACATGAGCATGTGTGCAGCGGGTTGAGGTAGGAGAATCTGAAACTGCTTGATGTATGAGATTTGGTAGGGAGCGTGGAGGGAGAGGGGGCCGAAGCCGTTAGCAGGGGCCACCTGAGGGGCTAGGGGAGCATTTGGCAGGCTCAGGAATTTGGGTTTTATTCTGGGAGCCACAGGGGCCATAGAAAGGAGAAAGATTTTAAAAGAAGATTTGCATTTTCAATCTGTTGGAGATCAGGGCAGAGATACCAGAGGCAGGTAGGCAGCCAGGACAGTAATTCAAGGAAAAGATAGGACTGTCCACAGCAGGA